GGATAATTAGCAGCAAAAGAATTGATGTTTGTATTTACATTAATTGGAGAGAAAGGGATTACATGAGAGTAAGGAGGGACATATGGGGAATTCACTTTGACAGGAAAGTGCTAGGAGGAGAGAAAGTTCACTTAGCAAGCAAACAAAAGCAGAATGTGTAAAACTGATTAAAGTCTGGTCAGTTACAGGAAGCAGCTGTCAACTGGCTAATTAAGTTCCCAGAGTTGACCTTTTTAACTTGCAGTTAAGACTTTTTAAGGGTTGTGTTACGTTGTAGAGGAAAGCAGTTCAGGAAGAGTTAGTTTGTTTAGGTGATCTCCACTCTGCAAATGCAAATAAAATGAGCAGGTCAGGCACAAGACAACTTGTACTGACCACTGTAATGGTGAACATGTGACTGAAAGAGATAGACAGGTGCTGCAAAGGTTGTAAAAACCAAGATTGGTCACAAAGTTCATTTTTCATGAAGAGAAGAGAATCTTTATTGTTGCTTTAAATGTACACTAATCAGCATAGATTAAAATGAAATGTTGTATTCAGCTCTCAAAAGATAACCATTTTGCATATGCATACATACATGACACAGAGAAACATCACAGTCTACTTTGGATGTGTATACATGGCGGCGGAGGGGGGGGGGAAGAATCCTGCAAGTTTACAAGATGGATGGCATAGGGAACAAAGCTGTTACAGAATCTAGTAGTCCTCTATAAATACTTTGAAACCTCCTCCCAGAGGAGAGTAACAGAAACAGATTGTAAAGTGTGTAGGGTATGTAGTAATGTAGTAATAATGCTTCGAGCTCTAGGCACAGTGCTTATAAGCAGTATCCTGAATAACAGGAAGTGAGCTTCCTACAATCTTCTCAGCTGTCTCTCTCTGTATGGACCGACCTTCTTAGGCACTGCTACCACCAAACCATGATGCCGTTCAGGGGGTAAGTTGCTGCTGGCATTACTGCCGGTTCGGTCTGCGCACATGTGCATAAATGCAATAGAAATTTGAGAGAGAAGTTTGAGAAGTTTATTTATTGCTCTGTGCAGAAGCAAAAAACAAAATGGTGCTGCCTATGGCGCCGCCAGGAGAACCAGTTCATGGGTGTGGCAGGCCTGGGTCGCAAACTACTACTGGTTCGGCCGAATTGGTCTGAACTGGTAGGAACCCATCACTGATGCAGTTTAAAACATTCTCTCTAGTTTTTCACCACCATCTTAGCTGCAATTGGTCATTGTCCAAGTTAAATACTAACTGAAGGTTACTTGTACTTGTTTTATTGTTCTGAAATACCGTATTTTTCAGAGTATAAGATGCACTGGAGTATAAGACACACCAAGGTTTTGAAGAGGCAATTTTTTAAAAAAAGTTTTTGCACTCTGCAAACCAAAAATGGCCTGTATTTAGGGGGCTTGTAGAGTGTTCCTGGGGGGACAAAAATGAGCAAAAAACGGTTCCATTTTTTTCAAAAATGGCTCTGTTTTTTGTCCCCAAAAAAGGCCATTGGGAAGTTTATAGAATGTTCCTGGGGGCTGGGGAGGCAAAATAGAGCAAAAAATGGACTGTTTTTTGCTCATTTCTGCCCTCCCCAGCCCCCAGGAGCTCTCGAAAGCCTCCTAAAAGCTATTCACGGCCATTTTGGTGAAGGGGCGGGGTTTCAGGAGGCAAAAAATGCTGTATTCAGTGTATAAGATGCACCCAGATTTTCAGCCTCTATTTTGAGGGGAAAAGGCGCATCTTATACTCCGAAAAATATGGTAATGCTCAAATAA